CAAATACAAAAGCAAAAACAAGCTGTATGCGAGCGCTATACAGAATCAATGCCCAAAACCCACGGAAAAAACTTTATAGTGCTGATGTCAAACCATGTATAAATGACGATGATACGAAGGAGGAAAGGAGGTCCAAAAAGGTGCAGGTTGACGAAGTTTTCCGGAATACGAATCCGTTTCGACTGGCTTCATCTGAACAGGACCTCGTGAAACAGTAAGACGTCTCCTTTCTGAATGTCTCTTTGGAATATTTGGAGTACTTCACTGCAACTGTAGACCATTGCACTAAAGCAAGATGAGAGTTTTACGAAGTGATATGATCTTCGCTATCATACTTTATGATGCATGAAACTTAGAAGACAACTTAACTGTTTCAGGAGGTCCGGTTCAGATGAAGCCCGTTGACGTCATGAAACAGTAAGATGTCTCCTTTCTGAGTGTATCTTTGGAATATTTGGAATATTTCACTGCAACTGTAGAATGCAACTTGGTGCTTGGGGGCTGTCAACAGGGGGAGGGCTTCTAATATCCTGGCCCCACTGGTGGACCTCCTGATGGCACCTGGTATATTTGGTCACTGTGTGACAGAGTGTTGGACTGGATGGGCCTTTGGCCTGATCCAGCGTTGGCGTCTCTTATGCTCTTACGTTAATATAGTACTAAAGCATTATGAGAGTTTTATAAAGTGATATGACCTATCATACTTTATGATGAATGAAACTTAGAAGACATTTTACTGTTTCATGACGTCCTGTTCAGATGAAGCCAGTCGAAACGAATTTGTATTCTGGAAAACTTTGTCAACCTGCACCTTTTGTGGACCTCCAGTTTGGTGTAGTGGTTAAGTGAGAGCCAGTTTGGAGTAGTGGTTAAGTGCGCGGACTCTAATCTGGGAGAACCGGGTTTGAGTCCCCACTCCTCCACTTGCACCTGCTGATGTGACCTTGGGTCAGTCACAAGCTCTGGCACAGCTGTCCTTGAAAAAGAGCAGTTTGTGTCAGAGTTCTCTCAGCCCCACCCACCTCACAGGGTGTCTGTTGTGGGGAGGGGAAGGGAAAGGAGTTTGTAAGCCGCTCTGAGAC